AGAACTGATATATTTTATGGTTTTTCTATCCATGGATATGTCTCTCCATTTATCTAGTTTTTAATGTATTTTATTGTTTTGTAGTTTTTTCCCTCATAAAATACAATATTTGCTTTGAGATTAATTCCAGATATTGCACAATACTGTTGCAATTATAAATAGTTTTAAAAAAATAGTAATGACCCCTTCATTTCTTGCCCCTCCTCTCACTTCTCCTGGTTGTCATGTGTTTATTCTTACATATGAAGTTCAGCATCATTCTGTCAACCAAAAAAAAAAAAAAAAGTCAGGAAGGTTTTGATAGAAAGTAGGTGCTCTCTCGCTATGTGTGTGTGTGTGTGTGTGTGTGTGTGTGTATAAATATATTTAGATGGAGTCTTGCTCTGTTGCCCAGGCTGGAGTGCAGTGGCGCAATTGGCTCACTGTAACCTTTGCCTCCCGGGTTCAAGTGATTCTCCTGCCTCAGCCTCCCAAGTAGCTGGAACTATAGGCATGCACCTCCACACCCAGCTAATTTTTGTATTTTTTGTAGAGATGGGGTTTCACCATGTTGGCCCCGATGGTCTCGAACTCCTCACCTCGTGATTCGCCCATCTCAGCCTCCCAAAGTGCTGGGATTACAGGCCTGAGCCACGGCACCTGGCCGGGCTTAATATATTTTTGTGCATGGAAGTCACATTTTTATAATGGTGACAAAAATATGTGAAAATTGAAGTTTGAAGTTTTGAGTAGAGACCATGATATAGTAGATGAGCTACTCCTAGATTAAATCATCAAATGCAGATGTCAAAACTCATATCCAAGAACCAGTTCCATGACTGTTGCATGCCTCACCCATCTCAAGAGTATAAAATGTAGATGGAGGATTTTTTTTTTTTTTTTGAGAGGAGAGTGCTAATTGTGGACAGAGATTTCCTTTGGAAGAGTGGTAGGCTATACTGAGGAGCACTCATCATAGTATTCCCAAATTGGAAACAACCTATATGTCCAACAACAGGAGAGTGGATAAATCGTGATGGATTCATACAATGGAATAGTATGTGGCAATAGAAAATATACACTTCTGATGCACATAACAACATGGATGACTTTATAGAATACTATTGAGTGAAAATAGCTAGATGCCAAAGAGAACATACTACCTGTAATCTATTTGTATGAAGTTCACAAGCTGGTAAAACTAATTTACAGGGCTAGAGATCATAACAGTAATCTTTGAAGAGGTAATAACCAAGAGGTGGCTTGAGGGAGTGTGCTGAGATTCTGAATTGTTCTATGTCTTGATTTAGATGGTGGTTACACATACAACATGCACATGTATATCTCTGTAGATGTGCATACAACCCATGGGAGAAGAGAATTTTAGGAAGAAAGCCTTATTTTTTTAAAAATTTTGTCCACAAGGAGTTTAACAAACCAATTAATTCTAGGGATCAGTTCTATATTTTTCTTAGTTTTTCAGCAGGCGTATAGAAATACAGAAATACCAAGTGTACAACCTGGGAGCATGGCCACTATTTAGCCTTACTCAGACATTAGTCCTAGGATCTACATCTTCAAAATTGTGAAGTAGTGCAAAAAGATGAAGACAACTCATGGATGACACTGGATTTGTTAAGAAGATGTCAGAGACAGGTAGTTTCTGAAATTAGTTTCTTCCCTGATTCATTTACCATTTTCCCACCTTCATTAGTGATGAATAATAATGTTAAGATATTTTTACTCTATTTCATCTGTCACCTGTTTTACTCTCTTTTTAATGTACCAGAATCTGAAACTGTCTTGATGATTTACTAAATATCTGTGTCATCCTTATATTAGTTATCTATGGCTATTGTAAAAAATTACCATAAACTTGGTAACTTAAAACAACCTAAATTTATTCTCTCACAGATCTTAAGGCCGTAAGTCCAAATCAGTGTCACTGCACTGAAATAAAAGTGTCAGCAGGGCTGGGCTACCTCCAGAAGCTCGAGGATAATTTGTTTTTTTGCCTCCTCTAGCTACTAGTGGCTGCCAGCACTCCTTGGCTAGTGGCTGCATCATTCCAGTCTCTGTCTCTGTGGTTATATTGCCTTCTCCTTTTATGTCTGGGTCAAATCTTTCACTTCTCTCTTATAAGGATACCTGTGATTGCACTGAGGGCCCACCACATAACCCTGGATAATCTTCCCATCTCAAGATCCTTAACTTAATCACATCTGAAAGATGCTTTTCCAAATAAGGTTAACATTTACAGTTTCCAAGGATTAGGATCTGATATCTTTACGTGGCTATTATTCAGTCTACACATCCCTCTACCAGAATGTAAATTCCATGGGAACAGAGCCTTTGTATGTTTTTTTTTTTACTTCTGTGTCTTCAGTGTTTAGAGGAATTGTGAACAAGAATGCCTGGTACATAGTAGGCAGTCACTAAATATTTGTAAATTTAATTACTTTTTTTTTTTTGAGACAGGGTCTCATTGTGTCATCCATGCTGGAGTGTGGTGACACAATCACTGCTCACTGCAGCCTTGACCTTCCCTGCTCAAGTGATCTTCCTACCTCCGCCTCCGAGTAGCTGGGACCACAGGCACCCACCACTATGCCTGGCTGGGTAATTTTTGTTTTTTAAAGTTTTTTTTTAGAGACAGGATCTTCCTATGTTGCCCAGGCAGGTAATGAACTCCTGGGCTCAAATAACCCTCCTGCCTCGGCCTCTCAAAGTGCTGGGATCACAGGTATGAGCCACCATGTCTAGCAGTCACTGAATATTAATGAATCACTTTGATCATCTTCCTGTGGAATGGGGAGTTTTTGTTTTATTGAGAAAGACATACCTATTACCATTAGCTGTAATTTATAGTGATAAGTTTTGGCTTATCATCAGAGATAATATTTTAATAACCAGGCCTATTCACCTACAGGCCAGGTTATTTCATAAAGGAAGAAACTCCTTGAATGTGGATGTATTCAAATAACATTTGAATAATTATCCGTTAGAGATGCTATAAAAGATATTTTATACAATGTCTAGAATTCTTATAAACCTTTTGTCTATTAGTTTTAAAAACATTGAAGACCATTCCTCTAATTTTTGACCCCGTTAAGAGCATTGTACATGACAATCCACAAAGATATATTCTTTTTGGTGGATCAGCTCTATTTTTCTTTAGTATGTCAGAGTATCATACTGGAAGCTCTCAATGCTAACATGGTCCTCCTCACATAGAAAGTTTTTTTTTCTTTTTCTTTACAGAAATGGCGCTAAGTCTTTAAATTATAACTTTTAACCCAGAAACTTACCATATGTGTAAAATATGATCACTAAAATAATGCAACTTTGTTTTGTATAACATTATCCTATTGATGTACCCATATCCAAATGAATGTCTCTTAATCAAAGCAGTCATCTCAGAAATTGATGAGTGAAAAATGAGAAATTTTCTTCTAGACTTCCCTTCATATAAAACCACATATGAAAACTAGGCCTATGAGTTTAGCTAAATCTAGTTTTTGGCCAAAGTAGTTATGTCGGTTGGAATTTTTTTGTTTGTAAGTAACAAAATACACTACCAAGGTACCTTATTATTATTTTCCATAACAAGAAACCTAGAAGATAGGCTGAAAAAGTGTAGTAGTTCCAAAAATCCTGTTCTTACCCAATAATAACAGCAAAGGAAAGGAGGAGGAGGACTCTTCTGTATCTCTCCTTTTTTCTTTTCCTTTTTTTTTTAAATAGTGGGGGGAGGGTTTTTTTTACAAATGTCTTCCAAAGGACACTGTCTTCTGTCTCATTAGTCAGGTGGATCACATAGCCATCTAAGGAAGACTGGAAAAGAAATTTTCTTGCATTTTAACTGCCCTTATGTACAAGAAGGGGTTAAGTCTGTCCCCAATGGAAGTAGATTCTTCACACTAACAAGTACATATCCTCTTTCTTCGAATTCTTATGAACAAATCTGGTGAATCGAAAATGGGTGGTGGCAATGGTGGTGGGGGACTGGGGAAAGAATTGGGTACTAATACTTAACTGGGTACCTATAATTGTGGGCTAGCCCTACCTGCAGATGAAGAGACTGAGGTTCTACATACAAAACTTGTATAAGGTAAATTGGGTAGAAAGTAGTGACGCTTCCAGCACGGGTCGTCATCTAATGATGATGGTGACGATGACGGTGATAATTACACTGGTTAATATTGAGCGCTTACTACACACCAGGCATTGTACTATCTACTTTATGCTGATTATTTCATTTAATTTTCAACCCTACAAAGGCAGTAGTCTGTTTTATAGATGAACAAACTGAGGCTCAACGACATGTATCTAGTAAACCTGTGATTAAACTCCAGTGTTGCCTCCAGGTCTGGGCATTTCTTTACACTGTTCTGCTTCCCTGTTCTAATGCCCATGTGGTCTCCAAGACTACTGCCTCTGGGCTAATCATTTTGTTAACTTAAGATACTTCATCTGCAAAATGGGGATAATTACACTTTATAATTCCTAAGAGTAGTAAAGGTAATAATAAATTTAAAGTGATTAACAATGAAACAAACATAGCAGGACAGCATTATTACCTTTGAATTTATCTCACTATATTATAATTTTCATTTATTGCCGTTTACCTACGCTCCTGGACTGAGATTATCCAGGGCAGCAGTTCTTAAATGTTTTGGACTCAGGGCCTCTCTATAATGTTAAAGAATTACTGTGACCTCCAAAGAGCTTATGTTTATGTGGGTTATACCTATGACTACTGCATTGAAATTAAAACTGAGAAATGTTTAAAAACAACAAACACAAGCTTCCTTAGCTGCCAGTGATGACGTCGTACACAAAGCATATCCTCCAGGAAACGGTATACTTGTCTGTATTATCATGAAAATTGTTCTGAGGTCATCGGGATTTCCTGGGGTCCCTAGACCATACTTTATGAGAACTGCTGCCTTAGGGTAAAGATGGGGTGCCCGGAGGTTGGCGCTCAGTAGCGTTTGATGAACGAACCATGGGAGCCTGGGGTTATTCAGATGAGGAAACCGAGAGTTAAAGGGGCCGAAATAAGCAGCGCCAGAGCTCCACTGTATTCACGGCCGCTACTGCGGCATCCCGGCAGCCTCGGCCCTTAGCAGATGTCCCCTCATCCGCCCCGAGGCACCCTCTTCCCTAGTCTGGTTTTTCAGGGGCCATCTCTGGCGCACCCCGCCGGGCTGCCGGCGTCCCTGGTGCCCGGAGACAGGCCCCGCCCCGCCGCCGGTCCTCGAACTCCTGGCTGCCAGGCAACCCTGGCGCATAGCCCGGGCGTCACTGCTCCACCCCGTCAGGCTGAACCATTCCCTTCAGAGACTTTCTCAAGAGGGAAGGAGAAAAAGGAACTTGATGGAACGCCTGAAAGCTGTTCTGCTGCCGTTTTCTCTCCTTAATTTGAACGAACACTTCTTTTCTTCTTCTAGCCAACTACCTCCTGAAGGGCAACGCGGCAATTCGCCTCTCCCGCCAGCATGTCCCCCCCACCAGTCCAGGGCCGCGAGTGGTTCGGCTCGTCAGGGAGGCCGGCGGTCGGCGCGGGTTGGCTCTGAAGCGGGGGCGCGCGCCCGACGTGCGCGTAGGGGGCGGGGCCGCGCGCAGAGGGCGGGGAGGTGGGCAAGATGGCGCCTGCGGAGTGATTCTCCTCGGATCCCTCCTGCCGGCGCGGAGACACCGGGGCGGGGGTCCTGCAGCCGCTACCTCCCTTCCTCCTCTCCCCGCCCCCGGAGCCTTCCTCCTTCCCTTCCCCCCTCCACCTCGGGGGGCGGGCCTGGTTCCCGGGACACCATGTCGGACTCTGAGGAGGAGAGCCAGGACCGGCAACTGAAAATCGTCGTGCTGGGGGACGGCGCCTCCGGGAAGGTCAGTCCTCGAGCAGGCCCGCCGTCCCTGGCCTGCAGGAACCCCGGCGCTCCCCGGCCTCCTCCCCGCCGCCCGGCGTCGCCTAGTTACCCCGAGCTCTCGGGCTTCTAGGCCCGGGCCCGTCTGGTTGTGTGGCCTGAGGCCAGACACGAAATGGGCGCTTGGTGAAGGCCGACGCTGTCCAGCTCCCCCTTACAAAAAAGTCACTTCCTAACTCGCCGTCTGGATTGCGAACTCCTGCAAGACTCAGGCCAGCCTTTCAGCTTCCCGCCTCTCAGGACTGGCAGGGATTTGCCAAGGCATCTTAGCTCCTCTTACTTGCAGTCCAGGTCACACTTGCTCCTCCCCTCCCACCCCCTTTACCGTTTCTGATGCTTCCACTGCACCGTGAGCCCCCAGGAGCATGACTCTGGGATCAGTATTTCCCGGATGAGAATAGGGGGCTCCGCCACTTAGTCGTCGAGTCATTGGAGGGCAAATTGCTAATCAGTTTGAGCTTTATCTGTAAGATGGGTATTGAAAAGGGCCGCCGCAAAGGGAGAAATGTGAAAATACATATTAAATGTGAAAACACACATAAAACCTTTAGAGCACAGTGTCCACTCTATACACGTTAGTTGCTGTTTTAATATCATACCTGTTCATCACCTCTGTTTCCAGCTCAGCACTCGGTACAAGCAGTCAGTCAACAAGTGTTTCTGGAGCTCCTGTTATGGGCAGGATGCTGAGGCTAGAGCTGCTTGCGTGACAGAAGGGATCCCTGGTCGAATGAATGAGAGTATCAGGCAGCATCAGTCTTATTATCTCCTAGGCAGCGGCTCCTACCCCAAGGTTGTGAAACTCTTGAAATGGACTGAAAACTGCCCGGTGCTTGCTCTGGGGAGACGGTCCATAAGATCTCAGAGAGGTCTATGATCCCTCCACCAACAAAGTGAAGAGCCTCTACCCGGATGCCTTCTTAGCCATGCTTCTGTCAAAGGCGCCAACACTTTCTGGGATTATTGCTAAAGTTTATCTCCCCTCTACTCCCCTCCCTTATCCCAACCATAGTCTAAAGAAACCCAGGCTCTGTTTCCTGTTTAAGGCTTCACATTTCCCTGTTGCTGGTCGCAGTGTGGACCCTGGTTTCTCTGGTGACGACTTCTCTTTGCATCCTCCCTGGCATAGCTGCTTCTGCCTTTGGTTCTGACATTTGAGTTTCGAGGTCCCCTGGGAAAGATGGAATATTTCATATGCAAAATTTGGAGTATTTTGTTGGTTTTTTTTCTTGTCTTCTTGGATCCTTTGTTACAGATTTTTAAAGCTGAGGAAAACAATATGCTATGATTACATTTAAACTTTGGGGGAAGAAAGGAACTTGGGGTAACTTTTCTTTATAAAGTATATTAATTTTTGTATACTCAGTAAACTTTTCGAATGAATGAATTGCTATAAATAAATCATCATTGTTTCTAACACCTTTATTCAATAAAAAGTTTGTTAGATTTTTATAGTTTCCTCATCATTTAGATTTTCTTTTGAAGGCCGTCTACAGTTTTGGCTCTTAAATTTTACTGTATTCAATTCATAACTGTTCTTATTTCCCTTTTAAAATGATAATGACAACGCATAACATAATACATTTGTAAAAAGACACAAAAATTGCTGGTTATCCTATATGCTATCATAATTCTTTAAACTTTTGTTCATTTTTCTAACAGTATTTATTGTACATATATTACTCAGTGAAATTTGTTCATAATTTTGGGTCTGAGTTTTTTATTTAACCTATCATACACGTTTTCCCTTTGTTGCTAATTTAGTGTGAATAATTACAGTATTTATTTCTGTTTAAAATTTTTTCTGGTATAGGACAGCATAATTTTTTTCACTTCCATGTTTTAGAGTTAGTATTATCATTCTGCTTCAAAGGATAACAGTAATATTTTTTATGGTGCTCTGACTTAATCTTCATCATCTTGCCTAAATAACTTATTTTAAAACTGTAACAGTTTTTTCTAATAGGAACTTCCGGACGCAGACATCTGACACCTAACCTTCTTTCATTATTCTTAAATCAAGAATTTTTTTCTCCATACCCTATTAAGTTCTCAAATACTTGGCAGCCACCAACATTCCCATTCTTTTTCCTTTATTGTTGTTTTCTTTGTGAACTCAGCCTCTCTTTCATTCTTATTTGTATCCTGATTTAACTCTTGGCTCTTTTTTCCTAGCATTTGTTTTTCCTGCTCAATCTAACTCTGAGCATTTTTCAACACACTGACAGATGCAGTAGAGCATTGAGATGATGACTTAACAGTTTCTCCAAGAGAAATTTAGCTCCTCCCTCCAGTATCACGTGTTTCTATTTCTTTCCTTTTCTGATTCATATTTTTTCTTTTATTACATAATCTCTTAAGAGCTTTTTGAGGCAAAATATTCATTTTTTCTGTCTTTCCAGTGTTTGTAAATGTAGTATGGTTAAAAAATGTTCGTAGAAATTTACCAAATCAAAAATGTTAGTAGAAATTTTCCAAATCAAAAAATATAAAGATTCAGATAAAAATATTTCTGATATGGAAGCTAGTTGTTCACTTAATACCTGTAATTAAGAAGGATATTTATAGAGTGACTTGAGAAATTATTGAATGTGTAAGATTGCATGCAGTCTATATAATTGAAGAGAAAGTGACCAACACTGGTTCAGTTGATTCTCTGTTCAATTTTTATCTCAAGATATTAGGAGATGATATAGTAAGAACTTGCTTTAATACTCTGTATGTTCCCAGTAACCTGTATTTTTGACAGTTTATACTCGATTCCAGTTGAAAATCCCAACTTTATATTTGCCTCAAAAGTGTGAAAGCAGGGCTTTCAAAATCTAGAAGTCACTTTTTCAGGAAAAGAAACTTCCTTAGAAGTTTTCTGAATACTCCTTAATATGAAAATATTGAACTCTGCGGTTCTTTAAAATGAAAAATTATCTCAAATGATATTATGTGGATGTTACACATGCCTTCCGTTTCTCTTTGACCTTTAACTATCAGTCTATTAAATATTTTGAATTACCTGTAATAATATAAGTAGTGATAGTTATTTTTTTCTAGAATTCTGAACCTCATCAAAGATGATTTTGTGGTGTAAGTTAGATAAGGTCAGTAGAATAATATAGTGTAAATGAGAAACAAAAGTCTGTAAAAAGAAATACCTATCTTTTCAATTCTGATCTCTCAGTTTTGATATTGTTACATGTGTCAAAAATACAACAACTGTGTTTGTTGCTAGATGTCTAGCAGAATATCCTTCACATGGTAGTGCTCAACAAATACTTGGCCAATTATCTTAGAAATTTATTACAAATGCTGGGTGTTTAAACACAAAAATATTTGGCATTACGGTGTCCAAATTGCCATTTGTGTGAAAAATATTGTTCTGTGTAAAAGGAAATTTAGATGAACTTGCTAAAAGGAATTGAAGTTTGGCCAAATTTTCTTTTGCACTGTTGTACTACTTATGTCATAATGAACTGTAATCAGCTGTCTTAGAAATTTTATCTTAGTTTTCATTATTTTAAGAGTTGACATGTAATTTTAACTTTTAAAATAGAAAACAGCTATTTTCTCTTAACATAGAGAGTCTGTCTTGAAGAGCATAAAAGCTAAGTGAAGTTGCCTTTCTCTTTTTTGGAGGAAGTTTATAAATAAAAATAGTGCATTTAAAATGTTTAAGAATTTGTTAAGTTATTGTTATTTATTTGTTACTAGAAAATTCTTCTTTTGCTTTGATAAGAAATGATACTTTAAAAAGAAAACTCCAGAGTTTTTGACTAAAACTTTGAGTTTCTATTTAAAAAAATGTATATCTGTTCTGGTTATAATAGCTTGTGACTTCTTGGCATTATGGTTCTTGGATGGAAAATATTCATTTTGTCTGCTTTGTATTAATTTTCAAAATACCAACTTCTTTATTTAAAAGATACATATTGTCACAGTCATTCTTTAGGGTCATTTTCAATTAACATCTTTAAAAATAAAGAAAAATTACACATGATACTTTTCCTGTGGGGAAAAGAAAAATTCTGTAAGCAGGTTTCTCCCTCCTTAATTAATGCTTCTTATTATTAGCTGAGGGCTCAGCTACCCTTAGAATATTTAGCCTCAGAAACTGATCTAAGTTAGATAAGATCTTTAATTATGTTTTAAAATAATTCAGATCTTTATTATTATTATTATTATTATTATTTTTTTCTGTTGATAACTCTCAAATTCTGATTTTCAGCAAGGAAAAGGATCTTGACAAGCAGGGGATTTAAAGAGATCTAACCCATTAGTTTATTGTCCCTACCGATAGCTGCTGGCAAGTGAAATTTACCTGGTGGTGTTAAGTCTCTCCCGGCCTTGTAACTGATTAGAACTACTTAAAGTTGCTTGTTGGATTAATTGGAGTATACATGTTAAGATTGCTTAATAAGATTTAGTAGTGGTCTTACGATTACATTTCTTTAATGAATTAATTTTGACATTCTGTGCGTCAATTTTTTAGACCTCCTTAGCTACGTGTTTTGCTCAAGAAACTTTTGGGAAACGGTACAAACAAACTATAGGACTGGATTTCTTTTTGAGAAGGATAACATTGCCAGGTAAGAGACTAAAAAGTCTTAACGTAGAAGATTATAAAAAAATCTTACAATAAATGCCATAAGAAAGAAATGTGTAAAATTTTGGGGCTGCTTCTACATGAAGATGTATAGAATCAGTATATTTATCTTAGGGAGGTTAACTTTCATCACAATCTATCATGAAGGCATATTGTCCACGGGTGTGAGAAAAAGTTTATATACTCTCCCACTCCTTCCCTGTTTTTGGCTACTATACGTTTTTTGAGGATAAACAATGGTTGCTTATAAAATTCTGAAAAGCTTTTAAAAAATTAAGTGCTATACATTTGTCAACAGATATTGTATTAACAAAATGTGAAAAGATTGGGAAGGATTATTTTTTAAAATATTATTTTGATTTGCCTCTACTTTAGTTTTTTTGTTTAAAGTTGGAACAGAAGTATAATGTAGCTATGGAACTTCTGTGCTCTAATATGTGAATGCTGTTTTATGCAAGGCAGCATGAAATTGCTGGCATTTAATAGACCACTAAAATTTAGGGTCCCTAGGCACTCATAAAAATACAGTTTGAGCATTCAAGATGTTTCACTTCACCATGCAAAGAAACTATTTAGATGCCAGTTGCAGCACATTTTGTGGGAAATACGGGGAAATAATAACAAAGAAAGAGTGGTTTATGTTTTAAGTTAGTTTCTGAACAATTGGGGCTTTAAAATGCTGTCCTTTCAATTTCAATGGTTAAATTATATGTTTAAAGTATTTTATTAAAAGCAGTTTATCTTGATTGACTTTATAAACCATCCGTCCCTCTCCTCTGTGAGGAAGCACATTTGGAGAAAACAGTTGCAAGTGTAATGTCAGATTCATGTACTGAAATGTGAGTGATATAGTGGGAAGGGGTTTAATACATTCCAATTATTATTGAAATATGTTAACCTCTCAGACACCCCATCTATCAGACAACTCCCCATGAAAGTTTTAGAGTAGCTAATGAAAACTCTTGGTAATGGAGGTATTCTTCTTATCTCCTTAGTAATATACTTTGTTATATTTTGTGATGGTTTGTATTTGGCTACCAGTGAAAAATAGATTAGGAGATATCCCATGAGAAAAAAAATAATTTCAATTTTTCCATTACTGGGTTATTGTTCAGCAAGAGGTTTAAGGAGAAACATATGCGTACTTTGTTTCATTTGTATTTTCTTTTAATGTATCCAAAACTGAAAACGTCATTTTAATTTTATTATTCTTCGTCTTACCGATAATCTATGCTGCATTCAGAATTCTTAATAGCAGTCACTAGCCGAATACATACACAAATCACATAATAAAGAGGCTGGAAGCTTATTTTTGCAGCAGTTTTTTTCACAGATGCCAGTTGTACGCAGAGAGTCTCAATATAATATTTTGCTATTAGCTATTTTGTTTTGATGCTTAATTTGAAAAACCACCACACCAACTTTTTGTCTCATTACTTTTAATATTTCTCATTTTTTAGTTGAAAAGCTTAAATAAAGAAACAAGTACCTACTCAAATATTAAAAACAAAGACTGGTTTTTAGACGTTTCATACAGGCGATATATGTGATGATTTCTGACCTGTAGCACAGCACTACCAATTTAAAAATTTTGATTACTTTGTAAAAAATATTTGATATTCTTGAAATCTAGATTAATAGTATAATATTTTAGACTTACACAGTACTTAGGTTAAAAAATGAAATTAGGGCATGTATACTCTTAATGAATGTATATTTTAATTTTCCTAGTTAAGTTTTTATTTTGATGGTAAAGTTCCAGAAGAAAAGTTCTATTTTTTTTTAAGGCAGTTGGTTTTATGCTACTTAACAGACTCAAACTTATGGTAGAAATTTCAGTAAGAAAAAAATATTTTAATGTATTTTGTTTTTATATAATTAATAAGTATATTAAGAAATGAGGTGAATAAATTACAAGGTTTATAATTATTCTTTAAATACTTTAAATTCATTATAACTGTCAAATGTAGGATCATTAATATATCATTAGCTGAATAAAACATTACAGGTAGCTTTATTGAATTTATAGCATAGTCAGTGAATCTAATATTTGTTAGTAGTCTAGTAAGTCCTCTGACCAGTTAGATTGTTAGGGGTGTAAACCTCCTGTCCATCTATTTACATTCTCTTCATGCAAGTTTTCAAGATCATTACTTTGCAAATACTCATCCATTTTAGTATATTTCATGATCCGGTATGCTGTATAGTCTGGATGCAACCACTGTGCAGATTTTACTGCTTAAAATAGTGTATCTGTTAGTCAGAGATTCTGCTGATAGAGCTTCTTAAGAGTCTTAGTCAAAATACTTTCAGGAAGCTTGTGGGTACAGTCCAGTAAACAGCGTTCTACTGTGAAAAAGATTTCTAAGTCTTTAGTACAAGAAGTGGGCAGACTTGTGTTTTTAGTTCCATCTTGACTATGCAGCACTTTAAGTAAGGTTAACCAAGGCACCAAGTGTACTTTTACAAGGTCACTGTTGAATCCTCTTGGTGGCTTTAATTCATACCAAAAGCAACTTACCTGTGTTTTGTCACCTCATTTATTTTATTTTTTCTTCTAGTTACATGTCATTTCTTACAGAGGAGCAGGAATTTTGTAGCATTCTGGGTTTGGGATTAGATTTCTGACAATTTCCTTAATGTTCTGTATTGGTTAGAAATTTGTATTAGATAGATTCTTGATTTAAACAAAATTATAATATTATTTGAATATTCTTATATAGCTTTATAGGTGTGTCATCTTGAAAATATACTAGGAGAATTCATATGTTTATGCCTGCAAAAACAAAAATGAATATTGATTTGAATCATATCCTCATGCGATTTTGCTCCTCAAATAAGGAATCTACATTTTATTTTTAGTTTTATGTGTTAATAATCCTAAAATTAAAATGTGGAGTTAAAAATATATTTCTAGATATAAGAAGTAATATGAAGTTAATATCATTTGTTGAAACTGTAAAGATAGTAATTTTTTGTTAGCATTCTATATTAGTGGACTATCAGTAATTCGTAGCTATTTTTATTTCTGAGTCACTATAATTTATATGTTTAAAAAAACAGGCAAACACTGACAACAGAGTTTATTTGGAAAGGCATGCATTTAAAAAGTATCCTCAACACATGAATATGGGAGACAATTGGATAGATAGATGATTTAGGGTCTTGATATGATTGTAGTCAGAATTTGAAAACATGTAATGAAGATCATGTTCCTGAAATTGTAGTCAAAGTGTTCACAACACCTCATTCAGATAGGATCTGAATATCAGAACTTAAAGAAGAAAGCTTTATATTTTTTGTTGTGAGGTTAAGCAATAAGGAATTGACTCTGAAAAAATGGGATTAAACACCTTTTAGTGCTTATTTAGTATTGCCTAAAATCTTCCTCTATAAAAGTTAGTATTGTTAAGCACTGTCTTTTGAAGTAATCAAATAACTCTAAAGAGTTGTGCAAGTAAAATGAATAGCCTACTGCCTGCTTAGGGGTTTCTGAAACTATTATATATACTTCTTAGTGATGGCTAGCCCTTTCTTATCTGCTTAATTTGAGACAGCATTATAGAAGAATTATTTCAGCCTTGAATCTCAAAAAATTTAGATTTTTAAGAAATTCGATTTGTATAAGTTTTTGGACACATCTTAGTCTGTGACGTTTTGGTTTTTGTATTCATAGGGCTTTAAGAACATTTTGGTTATTAGTGTAAGTGTAGAAAGTATGTGTCTGTAGGAATAATGGTGGTGATAAAACATTAGCGCTCATTAATGCTAATGGAAGTTCCTCGTGGAAATCCTCTGCACGGTGGCAGATGGAACAACCTATGTTTAAATAATGGAAAGATTGTAATACAAACTCACCAAAATTTAGAAAACTGTGCTGGTTAATCAAATGTCTTTTTCTTTTCAGTTGCATAGTTAAATGGTATGACTAACTGTCTCAGATTTTAGTGTTTTATGTTGGCGTATAAATTTATATCTTTATAATCTTTTTTTGAAATGAGATCATTTTTCAGTTTCTAACCTTTTATTTTATTTTCTTTTGATTTGCAAATCATTCAGAAAGTGCTAATTGAGACTCTGGAGAAAACTCCATAATCTTATGAGGGATATAGTTTAAAACGTTCAACTAAATAGCATAGTTTGGCTTTTGTAAGCATACTCATCAGTTGCATTGAGAAGAGAGAACAGCTTATCTCATAAATTTTTGTATCAACCAAATATTTTACAAAATGCATGAAAGGATTTTAAAGATTCCCTTTTAGAATGCTTTTATAATGCTCATAGGGGAAGATGATTAGTTACACTATTTTATGAAGGCTTGGAAGTATACATAGTTTGTTTAAATGGAAATGCTTTGAACAAGTTTGAATACATTGTAATATTTAGTGATATACATGGTATGTATCCTACATTTGTTCTGAATAGGGCTATCAAATGTGTTTCTATTTTATGGGTTAAATTTGAAAACATAATTTTTTGGTTATATTTGCCATATCCTAGAGTAGCTGACAATCACATTATAAAAAGATTCATTAATTTGAGCTGAAATTATGGGTGCATTTTTATAGTTTGCTATTATTCCATGAGTTTTAGAACCCATAGAGTTTAGAACCTACAACAAAATTCATATATATGATTGGATGGTTGAGTATTCAAAGCTTCAGTTTTTATTTCTAAAGTACATTTCTTGCTCCATGGACGTGTGTTTCATTCTATTCTCTAAGAAAAACGTTTTTCTGAGGCTTAAGTTTATAAATTAAAGCTTACTTTGTTTTGTTTTGAAAGTGGTTGTAAATATGGTTCCATGGAAATGGAGTAAAAGGATAAAACTAGATTCTCCACTATGATTTCTTTTGACATTGTTTTCACAATTCCAAATATCATGTGAGCCTGTACATAAAGGCAAATTGGGCTCAGTTTCTTATTGTGACTTAGTATTCTGTGATACTGTGTCAGCTGTTGTATTGTTACTTAATTTTTTTGATATTTTTATATTCATTTTTTATATTCTAGGAAACTTGAATGTTACCCTTCAAATTTGGGATATAGGAGGGCAGACAATAGGAGGCAAAATGTTGGATAAATATATCTATGGAGCACAGGTATGATATGAATTCTGATTATTCCAGTATTGAAAGTATAGCATTTACAAGCACATATGCAAATCTACACCCAAATGCACATACACACACACATACTTTCTTTCTAACTTTTTATCTGATATGTGGAGAGAATAATTTTATGTTTGTGCTAGTCCTTTGGTTTCATTCTCTCCAAATTATGTTTGGAATGATTTGGGTGAGGGAATAGGAAAACTCTTTAACAGCTTTCGTATGGTATTTATATTACTAGGTGTTATTGTTAGCAGTTCGATAAATGCAGTGATAAATGATATTTTGATATTTATTAGCTGGTTTGGTTATAGTGACTACTTTCAAATAAACTGAATGAAAAATACAGGGATGAAAATTTAACTTCATTTTAAGTTACAAGGACTAAAAGCATATCTATATGTCTATATTTTTGTGTAATGAATATTGATAGCTTTTCAGATTTAATAGACATGTCAATATTTTCTATCAGATAACTAAATATGACAGTGTATATGTGAAACACGTACAATAATTTATGATAATGCTGTATTTTCAGAAGAAAATCCATGTAGAGCAAGAAAAATGAAAGTGAAAAATGAAAAATGACCTGAATAATTACATAAATTTGGCCACATGAGCTTATATTCTCCATGAGCTTATATTGATATAATTTATAAGATTTTAAATAAAGTTATTATACAAATAGAAAATATACAGGGTGGTAATATACTTTAAAAAGTTAATCATTTCTCTCTGAGCATGTTCACTGAAGAATTGTCTTTTTAATATTTGGCAGATTGCTTTTGATTAAATGACACACTTTAGAAATGCAGTAATACTATTGAAAGTAATCTGATGAAGTAGAGAATATGGTATATAGCAAAATATTAAGTACGTTGTGCTTACTGAGCTCTGTATGTAATACTTGATGTGCTATTTCTTTATTTTTGCTTTTTTTAATTAGTGTGTATCTTCTACATCATCTGGAGACATAGGGGTAGTAGTAAAAATTTTTAGTTCTTTATTAGAGTTTGGTATTTTAAGTGGGACAAATATAACTTGGTTATGTGGAACCATGTTGCTCATAATAAATGATTCTATAGGGTGGAGATATAGTAGGTTAAGCACTGCTGTACAAAGTTTGGTTCATGTCAAGTACCATTGCCTTGATTGTGGATGAAAAATAGATTCTGATTTATTTTATAAAATATTCAGAGAAGGACAGTATGGTTATAGAGGCTAATATGGTTCTGAATCACATATAAAGGCCCTAGAGTTTTGATTTTTTGCATTGCTGATACAGAGATTTGGCTCTTAATGCTCTTATCTTTTATACATGGTTCTTTGTCTCCTGCAAAATTTTTCTGTTCACATTTATAGCATTTTCATCTGTGGTTAAGTGACTTGATATTTTATGCATGTTCATTTTTCTTTTAAAAAGTACATCTCAGAATTTTGTGTATGGCTTTTTTGTTTTATTTATTTATTTTTCTGTTTTAAACTGATTAAAGTGGATACTAAGCTAGATAAAACTTGCTGGACAGAGATTTGTGGGAAGCCACAGTTCTTGTTTCATTCATGTGGTTGATAACATGGGAAAATAACATTCTTATCTTTGTTCCATAAAATCTGTCTATAAGGCCGGGCGCGGTGGCTCAAGCCTGTAATCCCAGCACTTTGGGAGGCCGAGACGGGCGGATCACGAGGTCAGGAGATCGAGACCATCCTGGCTAACACAGTGAAACCCCGTCTCTACTAAAAAATACAAAAAACTAGCCAGGCGAGGTGGCGGGCGCCTGTAGTCCCAGCTACTCGGGAGGCTGAGGCAGGAGAATGGCGTGAACCCGGGAGACGAGCTGGCAGTGAGCCGAGATCCGGCCACTGCACTCCAGCCTGGGCGACAGAGCGAGACTCCGTCTCCAGGAAAAAAAAAAAAAAAAAAAAAAAAAAATCTGTCTATAAGGCCACATATAGGATTTTTAAGAAAATGAAGATTCGATCTAACTTCTAATGAAATTTGACTCTTGGTGTCAAATGGAATAGTCTTTTATGATTTATAGGTGCAACCAGAGTTAGTGGAGAACAGGAGGACTTTATGCATTTCAGGGTAAATAATAATATATAATTCAATTAATACATTTTTCTTTCCTTAAAAATTAGGGGAATATTATGCCCATGTGTTGAATTCTATCAATTCTATCTTCAAATCATTTAAAAATTTATTATCTAATTTATTTAAATTATTTAAAATTTATTACTATTATATAAAAATTAATATTGATGTGAAATTTGTGTATTATAAAGTTAACCATTCTGAAGTGTATAATCAGCTATATGCAGTGGCTCATGCCTGTAATCCCAGCTAATTGAGAGGCACAGGTGGGAGGATCACTTGAGCCCAGGATTTTGAGGTTTCAGTGAGCTGTGATCACACTACTGCACTTCAGTCTGGGTGACAAGTGACACTCCATCCTTAAAAAACAAAATAAATAAAAAATAAATTATATAATCAGTATCATTTAGTGTACTCACAGTATTTTGTGACCATTTCCTTAAGTCAGTTTTTGACAGTATATATTTTATGTTATTACAAAGCTGCCTACAATCAGCAGACATTAATGAGAACATTGGTAGACATTTCAAGAATTTCCATCTTTTTTGAAAGTCCATAAATTTAGTAAAATGTCTTCATTATTTTTTAAGGTACTTTATTTCTTGGGAGAAAGTGAATGTTATATTTCTTAGAACTTGTTGTATAAGGTTTCTATCTTGAAGGTACATACTGACTTTTTTCTCTTTTGGTAGTGCGTTTTATTGTTTATACTTTACGGTTGCTGTGACACTTATATTCATGTACTGTGTTTTTATTAAACAACAATGTCCAGTATTTCTGAGAAATTCATGAATCTTTCTATGAAATTGCCTGACAAAACTGGGAATTCTGAGATGATGAAATGAATTGTTAAAAATAGATGATAGGGCATGGGGGCAGGCACTTATAGTCCTTGCTACTTGAGAGACTGATATGGGAGGATCACGTGAGCCCAGGAGTTTGGGGACTGGAGTGAGCTATGATCATGCCATTCTACTCCAGCCTGGGTGAAAGAGCGAGACTCAGTTTATAAAGAAAAAAAAAAAGGATGATAATATAATAATTTTTTCTGCTTTCCAGAGATTCCAAATAAATGCTGTGTTAAGTACATAAAGTCATTGACCAGTGGTCTATTTTGTTAAACTGTTTTTAAATTCTATATCCAGGCTAGAGAGGCTGTGACTCATTATTTACTACTATAAATTGGAGAAAATGTTACTTTTCAAAACCAGTGATTTCAAAAACATCCTGATAGCATTTTAATAAACTCAATAATTTTATATAATAATATAATTATTCTTCAAAGTAGATCTATATTGCTTCTGGAGTTATAGATACTTTATATTACCTATCTCATGAGTACTTTAGATTTTGGTATACTACAGGACAGAAATCTTCCACAGAAATGTTGAGACAAGCTTTTTCAGGATATCAGTTTAATGTGTTATTTAGGGTTTATTTTAGGTTCTCTAACTTCTGTAACTTCTGTATTGTATATAGAAAGAATTATACATGTCTGGGTCATTAAACTAATCAATCTGTTTCTTTAAAGCATTTCTTAACATCTGCATAGAAGCTTATTTGTAGGCTGGGAGTTAACTTGGACCCAAATAAAACCGATTATTTTACCCTCTTCACTCCCCTTACCCCCAGCAACATTTAAACGTTAGCAGTAGCCTGTTGAAAGTGTTGGTGAAAACTAAATTGAATTGACACCCCAAAAAGAATTAGTGAGGTATTTTGACAAGAACTAGTTCTAAGAATTGAAATATGTCCCAGTTAAATTCCCAGATTTTAAATTAACTTAAAAATTTCTAGGAGTCTTTAGAAAGATGTTATAGGCGATTTTTCATAGTGGTTAAGAGCAAACACACAGTACATAGTGTTTAGTGCCCTGTAACCTGTGGCTAACAGAGGCTAATAACAAACCTCAGAGAAGGACTGGATGTTTCATTTTTGTAGCTCTTTCTGTCCTGGAATCTAAGTGGTTTGCAAACACTGACCCACTGAGCATAAACTCAATGAAAATGTAGTCACTTGTGAGGTAGAACATAACCACTATTATGTACCAGTGGCCCCACACAGATGAGCCTGCTTTTTAAGTACCAACAAAAGGATTTGGTGCCTACATGACAGCTAGGGAGAGGGTGCATCTTAAAACTGGACTCTGCAAGACCTTCTGCTCTCTTTTGCTGTAAGTTTTTTAGTTGGATATTTGCCAACTTATAACATGTTTGTGCACTTTCTTTGCGTGTTTCTTACAGGTTATACTTATAAAGCAAGATATATGTTGTTAATGGCTATTATATAATCTGTATGATTTAATTCATTTCTATATATAACTAAAAAACTAAAGCAGATTATTTGTCTTGCATATAAGGGAGAAAACAAATAACCTGCATTTTGGGACTGGGAAACCTTTCATTTTTTGAGAATGTTAAACAGTAACAGTGTGTGTACTGTGTTTAGCACATGTTACACTGAAGAACTATATCTATGCAATGCTTTACAAGACTGTTACTTGGTAGGCATCAGTGTTTGTTCTTTCAAAACTTCTATCAAGGCCAGGTCAGTGGGTCATAATCCCAGTGCTTTAGAGGGCCAAGGCAGGATAATTGTTTGAAGTCAGGAGCATGAGACCAGCCTAAGCAACATAGTGAGACCCTTTCTCTACAAAAAATTTAAAAAATTAGCTGGGCACTGTAGTATACGCCTGTAGTCCTAGCTACTAGAGAGGCTGAGATGGGAGGATTATTTGAGCCCAGGAGTTCGAGGCTGCAGTGAGCCATGACTGCATTCCAGCCTGGGGAACAGAGCAAGACCCCATCTCTTAAAAAAAAAAAAATGCTGTCAATTATTACCTTGAAAATGGTATCCATTTGATTTACTCTCTCATCATGCTTATTAGATATGGTGG